TCTGGCCCAATATTAAGTAATACGGAGTATGAAGTCATGTAGAGCCCATTTGGTAATGATGAAATCCGCTGAATCGGCTGATTCTGCTTAAACTTATGAAGTTTTGGTTGAAGTGGCTGTATCGGCTGATTTTACTAATTTATGAAAAATAATATTTGAAATATATTTTGTTAATAAAATAAAGAAAATTATATATGAAAACCCACTAAAATGGTCATCTACAGTAACTTTAGTCAATTCAGCATGAAAAGTAACTTCAACCTTACTTTTTTTATTACTACACAATTCAGAGCGCGAAATTAAAAGTTCCGTGTTTGGTCAAAAAAAGGTGACTGATATGTCTGATAAGCCAAAAAATAGAGTTACCAAACGGTGTCGTAGCGTGTGAAACAACAACAACAACATCCAAGCCTTAGTCCCAGAAGATATTGGGGTCGACTAACATGAATCGATACATGATAACATCACCAAAAGGAAAAGATAGAAAATAAAGATAAAAAATTAAGCTATTATAAAAAAGATAATATAAAACGGGATGAATATACTTTTAAAAAGATAAAATAAAAAGGATAAAAATAATTTTTATGTATATAAGGATAAAAGAATAAAAAACAAGAAGAAAAAAGATGAGGGGAAATTGGGGTTGATTTGTTGGTTAGTGACAAACACCTTTAAAATTTAGCTTGATTGGTAAATTGGCCAATAACATCTTTTAAGATGTAATAGTACTCCAAACAGCATATTTTTAAATTGGCCAATAAAAAATGTACAACGCCCAAACAATGTACTCTAAAGTAATATATAGTCTTGGTAAAAATTAAAGATATTTCATGAAGATAAATAAAGAAAAACAAATCTTGGAGTGAGTGCTTTCATACTAGGAGTAACTTAAATTTGAAAGTATAAAAGTTACCCAAATTAATACTACCTCCGTCTCAAATTGATTTGTAAATTTGACTTTTTTTGTCAAACAGTTTCATTTTATTCACTTAATTAGGATGTCAATTTTTAATTATATTCTAATTTGGAATTTACAACTTTGAAGAGATTTTAATGTAATTTCTGAATATATGAATTTTAATTATTAAAAATTAAATTAATTATCAATACGGAACATTGACTTTTATTATTGGTTGACCAGAAAATGTTGACATTTACATTTGAATGTGTTATATCTAAATGTTACACTGCAAATACCGCCTAAGTGTAACTATATATGTATATATGTGTACATCATAAGATTAAGTTTGTTAAAATATTCTATAAAGTTCTTAAAATTGTACTACGTAATAATTAACCATTTATTGTCTTAAACTCTAATGGAAAATATTTTTCGTTTATTTCATGCGGAGCATGTAATTAAATCAAAAAGTTTTTATTTTTAGCAGGGTTGATTGTTAGGCTACCTATTGAATCCATATTGACTCGGGAACTAATTACTTAGCTAGATTTATCCCAACCTTAGCTTGGTTTACGACAAAGAGAATAAGAGAAACATAGTGTCGGCAAAATTAGAAAAGTGTAATGCAGCGGACAACTGACATAATTCAACCTCTTCTATAGGTGTTGTTAGGGCTGAGCATAGCCATTTTGGTAGGATTTTAATCGGATTTGATTTGAAACATATTAGAAGGATGATTATCAAATAAAATCATACTATGCTTTGACTTTGTTCGGTTGGGTTTAATTAGTTCGATTTAGATTAGTTATTTTTTAAAAACATATAAAGGTACTGTTTTTTTTATCGTTATAAAGGTACTGAATTACGTAGTACTACAGTATATTTTATTCATCAAAGTTCTGATTGATCTATTTTTATTCATTTTCTCATTTTTCCTGTTTTTTTTTGTTTAGAAAGGGGTGGATAAAATATCACCAAACCCAAACTGAATAGCTTATACATCAATTTTGGTTCGATTTAGTTTAGTTTGGTATAGAATGTGGTTCAAATCGATCAAACCGGATGGATATGCTCACTCTGGGTATTGTTTGTATCCCTTCTTATCACTCCAGATTCCAGAAGCATGAGAGTAGTTTGTACTCACAAATTACATAATAGAAAACGAGTTAGTTTAATTATTTTTGACACAATTTGAAATGATCGATTGAGTTAGTTGAGCAACAAGCAGTGGCGGAGCCAGACATTTAGAGTTAAAGGGGCCGATCCTTAAAAATTTTACATTGCAGAGGCCAAAGTTTAAAATATCAACATACTTTATATAGATTAAAAGTATTTATACATAATATATACTTAAGAATTTTTTTTCTTGCAGGGGCCATGACCTCCACCAGCCCCTCCCTATCTCCACCCCTGGCAACAAGATGAGATATATGGCATTGGGAGCAGGGACGGATCCAGGATTTCGAGTCAAGGGGGGCAAAATTTTTTCATTAGTGTAGGGAGTGAAAAAATTTCGCCAGTAAGCAGAACGGGAAAAAATCGCTAGTGTAGCGGGGCGAATTTTTTCACTAGTGTAGGGCTCTGTGGCTAATTTTTATTTAAAAAGTTCCATTAGTACATACTACATACACGATGACAATTAAATCTATTATATTCTAATTCTAACTATAGACAATGAAAATATAACTTTGATTTAATAACTATAAGTGCTCGAGAAAAAAATATTGATACATTAAAGCTTAAGAAATGACAAATTAAAGGGAAATTATTTGAAAATAAGAAAGGATATGATATACGTAGTATAACATTTTATGATATTATTTGAAGGTAAAGTGGTTAAAGTTAAAGGTACACATCAACCAATATTTCTTAAGTAACTTATGCCTTGTTTAATCACATGATTCTTAACAGGATAAAGAATTGATTTTTGAATTGAGATTTTTGTCTACCAAGAAGGATATTTGTGGGTCATGATGAGTTTTCTTAATATTACAATAGTATGCATGAGATTACTATACTTAGAATAATATGATACACAGTAATGTTAATTCATATATATCTGGTGCATATTATATTTGCATTAATTCTAAAATAAGTTAAAGTTTTATCTATTCAACAAATTGTTTTTAGAAAGTAAGAGGTAAATGAAATGTGTAATTTAATGTCAACAAACATTTATACGATTTAACTACTGTATCTGATATTCAATATGTTTTGATATCTTACAAAATCGAGTACTAATTATCTAATAAAAATAATTAAACATTACAAAACTAAGAATTTTTTGGTACCCTAAGTCTTAAACAACGAGTTCTATTGTTTATTTTTTTAAGTTATGTAAATTATTTTAGATTCTACTTCTTTTAAATCTCCAATTAAGCATTGCATTATGTGAGCCTATATATTAATTTTGAAAACTTAAAGTTAAGGGGGGCGAAAACATATATACCTAATTAAAGTATGAAAATTTTATGAAAATATTATATATATAGTAGAAAAATTTGGAAGTCCAAGGGGGGCGGTCGCCCCCCGCGCCCCCCCTTGGATCCGTCCCTGATTGGGAGTGGTGATTAGCTTGACCAAGACAAGGAATGCAGGCTGCATGAAAGTGCATGGAGAGAGTAGATAGTGATTCTATTAAAGTTCCCACACCGAAGCTAAGAGAAGCAGGAACGGATTAAGGGGCTTATAAAATGCAATCTACTGCCAACTAGAAACATACTTACCTGGACGGGTCAATGAGTGATCAAGAAGACCCATCGCCTAGGTTGGTTCCTTCCATTGCACGTTGGAAGGTGTCATCCTAAGGTCTACCAGAGTGGTGGAACTTATGTCATAATTTGTGGTACTGAGGACCTGCGTTCGCGCGGCCCCTTCCAAGTTCCAGTTCAATGTCCAGTTAGGGGTGGGCATTTAAGGGGCGGGCATAAAAATAGCACCGAATAGGTACTGAATTGGCCTGTAATGGTACCGAACCGAATATTGGGTATTTAAATGGTTCCATAAAATTTTATCCTTAATTGAAACTGTACCGTTTTCATGACTCTTACCTTAATCATAATGTTCCATTCTGGTCATTAATGGTTAATGTACGTGGATTTTTTATGATCATTCTTTAAAAATGGGCTGCTTCAATTGTGATAAATGTTACGTAGTACTTGTATAACATAGAAAAACATCTTTAGAGATTCTGCAGTTTGGATCAGAGTTATTTCAGCTTACATTTTTGTGTTTAAACATGGTGGCATTTATGCAAAGCTTTGGTTCTTCCTTTAATCCTCAGAACTAGAAACTTTTGGGATGGGATGAAGGCGCCTCATGTTTGATTGAGGTTTAAACTGTTAAGCTAAGGGTGCTGGTAGTACTGCATATGTCCAGCGAGTAATAAGCAAATTTGTGAAGGTCTTCTATGATCACTGATCAGGTTCACTTGAACCTTACTCCGTCGATGATACATGAAGTAATCCTATATGCGATTATAATCCACCGTAGAGATATCGATCTCCACAACTTTACTTGCTATCACATGAAATAATCACGCTATCACATGAAATAATCACAAGATTGTGACTAAAATAAAAATTGTTTAAAAAAGTGTAATTAGTGACGAGAGTAGTAATGCAATCATAGTGATTTATGTCCATTTTTTAATTAAATTACCATGACACTTCATTATACTATTAGTTATATTTGTGCAAATGAGTTTTAATTTATTAATATTTTTGAAAAAAATATTTTAATTCAATAATTAGTTGTAATTTACTAATTACATTCCTAATCCTGTATTTATTTTATTCATGACGAAATATTGTTATGGAATATTGTTACGAAATCCTTCTGTAGCAAGTATATGTTACAAATTTGCTAACTAAAAAATGTAATACGTGAAGAATTCAATTATGAGCAACATCCATGAAACTTCCTCCATGTGCAAGTATGTCTCTGGGAAGTTTCCTCACACCAAGCAACCACCTTCCTCACACCTCCATTGAAGCTTCTCCTAAGCTTCCACCCATCTTCCTCAGTTCCTCCCACCTTCTTAGTACCTAGTTTTGGTGCTATAAATAGAGAGCTTGGAGAGTCTTTCTATCATCAAGCAATTTAGATCATAGATTAGAATACCACAACCAAGTTTGAGTTGTGAATATCCTTGAGAGATATGTGAGGTGTTTTTAGAGAGTTTTTAGTTAGAGCTTGTATGTCTCTTCTTTCTATTCTTGAAAGTAATAGAAGTGTTTTTCTCTCATATAAGCACGATCCTGTTATTCCCAACAAGTGGTATCAGAGCCTGGTTGAGCTTTTGATATTTTCCCCAGATTTTTTTCAGATAAAATTCTACTGTCTGAAAAATCGAGTTTTTCAGTATTGCTCGGAATTGCAATCTGAATATACCGTTGGATTTGTCTCGTCGAGACGAGAAAACTGGTATTTTTGGGGATTTTTTTGGCCACCGGAAGCTGCCGTACGCGCTGCCAAACGCCGGCCAAAAACTGCCTGCGTCATGCTGACGTCATCACGCGCAGACAGAGGTTGAAGACAGCTGACGTCATCGCTGACGTCATCAGCCAGCCAGAGCTGCGTCAGCGACACGTCAGCGCCACATGTGCAGTCCCAGCACAGTCAGCCGCCACGTCACTAGTCAACTGCCAACTTTCACCAGCGCCCAGTCAGCTGCCACGTCATCGCCCAGTCACCGCCATGTCACTGCCACGTCATCTGCCACGTCACCGGTCAGTTTGTAATTTTGAAAATTTGCAGTTTGGTCCCTCAATTTTTGGAAAATTATAATTTCCACCTATAATTTTTCGAAAATTGTATTTTGACCCCGAAAGTGCCTACCCACCACTTTCGGCCGTTCCGGACGCAACGGTGCTGCCCGTTTTTCGAAATTCAGCTCCGATTTTTTTGAAACAGAAAATCAAAATTATTTAGAAGGTGAAAATGACCTTTGACGAGTCAACTTCATCTTCCGGAGCTATGATTATGCTCACGGCTACCAACTACACGCTATGGAAACCTCGGATGGAAGATTTCCTTAGTTGTAAAGACCTTTTTGATCCAATAGAGATGAAAGGTATTAATTCTGATCCGGCCAAGTCAACGGAGTGGAAGAAAATTAATAGAAAAACTATTGGTCAAATCCGACAATGGATTGACCATAGTGTCTTCCACCATGTTGCACAAGAAACCGATGCTTATGCCCTTTGGAAAAAGTTAGAAGATATGTACCAGGCCAAGACCGCTAGGAACAAGGCCCTACTGATGAGGCGTCTTGTCAATATGAAGCTCAAAAGTGGAACTTCTGTTGCCGAACATACTAGTCAATTTCAGAGTCTGGTAAATCAACTATCTTGTGTAGAAATGCCACTTGGAGATGAAATGCAATCTCTACTGCTTCTTAGTTCCCTTCCTGATAGTTGGGAGACACTAGTTGTTACTCTCAGCAACTCAGCCCCAGATGGCAAACTTACCATGTCTGTGGTCAAGGATGCACTGTTCAATGAGGAGGCAAGAAGGAAAGACATGACCACAGATGAGACTCATGCCCTTGTGACAGAGAATAGAGGAAGATCACAAGGAAAACAACAAAGAAACAGTAGAGGGAAATGGCAAAGCAGGGGCAAAAGTCGGGTGAGATCATCAGATGGCCGGAAACCTTCTTATACCTTCCACCATTGCGGTATAGAGGGTCACATGAAGAAGAATTGCTACAAATTGCTAGAGGAGCGAACCAAGAGCAATTCTCAAGCGAAGAGCAAGGGTGGTGAAGCGCTCATCACAATCTCAGGTGATGTGGCGTATTGTACTATCAATGATGAAACATGCCTTCACGTCTCAAGAGAGGACACTGAATGGGTGGTAGATACCGCAGCATCCTACCATGTTACTCCCCACAGGTACTACTTCACAACTTACAAAGCTGGAGACTTTGGAGCAATGAAGATGGGCAATTCCAGTTCATCTGAAATAGCTAGAATTGGTGATGTACAAATAAAGACGAGTTCTGGGAGCACAATCACTTTGAAGGATGTCAGACATGTTCCAGACCTTCGTCTCAATCTCCTGTCAGTGGTATGTCTTGACGAACAGGGGTATGAAAACCACTTTAACAGGGGCACCTGGAAAATGTCAAATGGCGTTTTGACAATCGCTCGAGGACATGTTTGTGGCACATTGTACAAAACCCATTTGAGGATTTGTACGGATAGCCTCAACATTGCTGAGGAGACTTCTCATAATCTATGGCACCTGAGACTCAGCCACATCGGTGAGAAAGGGCTGACTACCTTGATCAAGAAGAACCTTATCAACATAGACAAGAATGCTGCACTGGGTCCTTGCAATCATTGTCTGTTTGGTAAGCATCATAGAGTATCATTTAGTTCTACTTCAGCTAAAAGATCAGAGTTGTTAAGTTTGGTACACTCCGACGTCTGTGGTCCTTTCGAGGTGGAATCAATCGGTGGAAGCAGATATTTTCTGACTTTTATTGATGATGCTTCTCGGAAAGTGTGGGTGTATTTCCTGATTACGAAAGATCAGGTATTTGAGTGCTTCAAGACATTTCACGTCTTGGTGGAACGTGAAACGGGAAAGAAGCTGAAATGTCTCCGATCTGATAATGGAGGCGAGTATACTTCTAAGGCGTTCGATGCATATTGTAGAGAATATGGCATTCGACATGAGAAGACAGTACCACGCACCCCTCAGCACAACGGCGTTGCTGAAAGAATGAACCGGACTATCATGGAGCGTGTCCGGAGCATGCTGAATATGGCTAAGCTTCCGAAGTCATTCTGGGCAGAAGCAGTCAACACCGCATGCTACCTTATCAATCGATCACCTTCGGTACCACTGAACTTTGAAGTTCCAAAGAGGTTATGGACAGATAAGGATCCTACATACTCACATCTTAGAGTATTGGCTGTTCATCATATGCACATGTATCCAAAGAGCTCAGGCAGAAGCTCGATGCAAGAACTATCCCATGCATTTTCGTTGGCTATGGAAATGAAGAGTTTGGATACAGGCTATGGGATCCTAAGGAGAAAAAGGTGTTCAGAAGTAGGGATGTTGTGTTCCACGAAGATTTGACAATAGAAGACATTGAAAAACCCACAATGTCTCGGAAGTCAAATGAGGGTGTTCAAGTTTCAAATGAAGCACCAGAAGAGGACAAAGTGCATGAAGATAACTCAGAAACAGAAGAAGGCGAGGAGACAGAAGAGAGTGCAGAGCAAGGGGAGACACAATCCACCCCGCCAGACACAGATGATGGTAGCTCTTCTCAGATGGTCCCTACTGTTCGTAGATCTGAACGAGGGCATATACCATCGACAAGGTACACATCATCTGAATATCTTTTGTTAACTGAAGATGGAGAACCAGAGAGTTTTCAAGAAGCTGTATCTCATAAGGATAAAGAAAAATGGCTAATAGCAATGCAGGATGAGTTAGAATCTTTGCAGAAAAATCAAACTTATGAGATCGTAGAACTTCCTAAAGGGAAGAAGGCACTAAGGAACAAATGGGTGTTCAAGCTGAAGAAGGATGCAAGCGGACAAGTGGTGAAACACAAAGCTCGGTTGGTTGTCAAAGGGTTCCAGCAAAAGAAAGGAATTGACTTTGATGAGATCTTTGCACCAGTTGTCAAGATGACCTCAATCCGAGTTATACTTGGCTTGGCAGCAAGTATGAACTTGGAGCTTGAACAGATGGATGTGAAGACAGCATTTCTTCACGGAGATTTGAAAGAAGAAATCTACATGCAGCAGCCGAAAGGTTTTGAGAACTCAAATGATAACTTTGTGTGTAAGTTATCTAAAAGTTTGTATGGCTTGAAGCAAGCACCAAGGCAGTGGAATAAGAAGTTTGACTCATGCATGAAGAGTCAAGGCTACAAGAAGACTACTGCAGATGAGTGTGTATACATCAAGAAACTTCCAGACGGTACCTTCATTGCTCTTCTACTATATGTAGACGACATGTTGATCGTTGGGAAAGATGCAGTGAAGATAAACCAACTGAAGAAAGAACTCTCTAAGTCTTTTGATATGAAAGACTTAGGACCGGCTCAACAGATTCTTGGGATGCAGATCACTCGAGACAGGAAGAATCGCAAGTTATGGCTATCTCAGGAGAAGTACATTGAACGAGTACTTGAGAGATTCAACATGAATGATGCCAAGCCAGTAAGTGTTCCACTTGCGAATCACTTCAAGTTGAGCAAAAGAACATGCCCTACATCCAAGGAAGAGATCGGGGAGATGTCAGCAGTTCCATATTCTTCAGCAGTTGGGAGTTTGATGTACGCCATGGTATGCACAAGGCCAGACATCGCATAGGCGGTGGGTACAGTGAGTCGTTTTCTCTCTAACCCCGGGAAGGAGCATTGGGAGGCAGTCAAATGGATTCTCAGGTACTTGAAAGGTACCACGAAGTTATGTCTTTGTTACGGAGGAGCTGATCCAGTCTTGGAAGGCTACACAGATGCTGATATGGCAGGAGATACTGATAGTAGAAAGTCTACTTCAGGATATATCTACACTTTTACAGGTGGAGCCGTTTCTTGGCAATCAAGATTGCAGAAGTGTGTCGCTTTATCTACTACAGAAGCAGAATACATTGCTGCCGCTGAAGCAGGTAAGGAAATGTTGTGGCTAAAGCGCTTTCTCCAAGAACTTGGGATCCAGCAGAAAGAGTACAAGGTACATTGTGACAGTCAGAGTGCTCTAGACTTGAGCAAGAACTCTATGTACCATTCTTGAACAAAGCATATTGACATTCGGTATCACTGGATACGGGAGACGATTGATCAACAACTGTTGAGACTAGTGAAGATCAATACAAATAAAGGAGAATCCATCAGACATGCTGACGAAGGTGGTGACACGAGATAAGCTAGAGCTGTGCAGAGACATAGTCGGGATGCTTGTTTTGAATATGCCTGGAAGGGGAGAATTGAAGAATTCAATTTCCAGGTCATATCCAAGTACAAGCAAATTGAAGAATCCAATTATGAGCAACATCCATGAAACTTCCTCCATGTGCAAGTATGTCTCTGGGAAGTTTCCTCACACCAAGCAACAACCTTCCTCACACCTCCATTGAAGCTTCTCCTAAGCTTCCACCCATCTTCCTCCCACCTTCTTAGTACCTAGTTTTGGTGCTATAAATAGAGAGTTTGGAGAGTCTTTCTATCATCAAGCAATTTAGATCATACATTAGAATACCACAACCAAGTTTGAGTTGTGAATATCCTTGAGAGATATGTGAGGTGTTTTTAGAGAGTTTTTAGTTAGAGCTTGTATGTCTCTTCTTTCTATTCTTGAAAGTAATAGAAGTGTTTTTCTCTCATATAAGCACGATCCTGTTATTCCCAACGAGGAGTATTTATTATAGACCATTCTGTAACAAATACGGAGTATTTGTTACTGACGGAGCCAGATGGCCCGGAATCCCCAGATCCAATTCCGATCCATAAGGCTGCCTGCAACCCACATTAATAACCCAATTTGAACCTATTCAACCCAATAAAAACTGCAACGTATGTATTTTAGGGTGTTATTATATAGGTGGATGCATGGCACCCCTGGCCGTGGGAATTGGTAGGATTATTGACGGAGAGGAGTGCAGCCGGTCCCAGGTGTCAGCTACTCAGCCATGCCATCAGTTGTCCGCAACACTTCACACTTAATTAATGTTTCTTAGTACTCCCTCCGTCCCCTTTTAAATGTCCCGTTTTACCATATTGGGATGTCCCTATTTAATTGCCCCATACCTTATTTGGTAAACTTTGTGTGGCTCAAAATCATTCTTACTTTATTCTTACTTTATCAATTAATATCAACCACACAAACTCACTTTTCTTAAAACACGTGCCACCATCTCCCGTCCCATTTAAAAGGGGACGGAGGGAGTATTGCATAACACTCCATAGTTGGTATTAGTGTCATTGCCCATTGCAATTTATTTGAAATTACACTTAAGTGTCCATATTTTAATATTTGTGAAAAAAACATTTTTTTACATTGAAATGTTTGACTTTTTAAATTATAATTATTGGTATAAAAAAACTATCACATAATTGATGTGTAATAATAAAAGTAAGGATCTATACATTTAGTTAAAAAAAAACTGTGTTGGGGAATTTATTGACCGGGCTGGATTGTAGAGAAAAATAATCTGAGTGAATGAATACGTATAAAGAAATGGAGAATTTGATTTATTGACTGAACATGGTTGCGGTTAGCCTAACAAAACCATTACATTCCATCATGTAAACAGTGGCGGAGCCACTTTAGTTCAAAGGTGTTCTCATGAACACCTAGAATTTTGAAAAATATGTTAGTATATATGTATGAATTTAGTTTTATTATTTATTTTCTTTATAAATTTTAAATATAGAAAAAATGAACACCCATAGCTGAATACATAGTTAAATACTACGGAGTACGCATTAAAGCAATTCAAAAAGATATTTACTTGTGTATAGGTCACTTTACTGTATATTTTCAAGATAGTTTTATACGGAATACTATCATTTATAAGTTTTGCAACTCCAACATGCTAATATATTAGTTTTATGATGATGTAGTTCTATTCAGTTTATGTTGTTTTAACGGCAGATCATATCCTCAGATGTTGGCCTTATTATGAGAAAGTTTGGGTCAACCGGTCAAATGGTCAATTATGTTAAATATAATAAAATAGGTCCTCGAACTTTCATAAAAAAGTCAATTAAGTCCTTCTATAGGAGACTATGTCCGGTCGTCGCGATTTGGGGCGGTTCCCGGTGAATTTTTTTGATGAAATGTTTTGAGCATCCTATTCATCAAGTCTAGTTTACTCATACCAAATTTCAGCTAAAAATTTAATCGGGAGCGCATTCAAATTAATTCGAGAACGCAAAAATGCGCAGTTATCTTCAAGAATTAATTTGAATGTGTTACCGATTGAATTTTTAGCTGAAATTTGGTATGAGTAAACTAGACTTCGTGAATAAGATGCTCAAAAAATTCCACCGGGCCCCAAATCGCGACGTCCGGACAAAACCTCCTATAGAAGGACTTAATTGACCTTTTTATGAAAGTTCGAGGACCTATTTGACAGTTTTCCCAATTCAAAATAATATACAAGTCCAACATCCGTCCCGATAAGTTTGAGACATGTCTCATTCTATTGTTATTATGTCTTATAATTTTGACATCATTTTGCAAAAGTATGTCTTGGACTTAATTACATCAGTTGTGGTTTATCACCGCTTCCTTGGAGGCTCTCCGGTAGAATTACGAATTATTTTTTATGTAGTAATGAGATTTGCTACTAAAATATGTGTTTATGTGCATACTTTTAATTCTTTTTACAATATATGTATTTTGTGTGAAGTATATAATTTATATGTTCAAAATATTACCCCGTATTTTTTGTCCGAATTTTTGCAACCGATAATGTATTATACACTTATACGTATTTACACGTTTTAAAAAAGTCAACGTTTTTTCAATGAATTTTAGATCGTTTTTTAATTCATGTTACCAAATAAAATGCGTACGCATTAAACCTCGTTTAATTCTCGTACCGTATTTAACTAACTAGTGTATAAACAAAATTGGAGTTTACATTGTTTTTCAAAAGCTGTAACTCCCTTTCAAAAAAAACTAATTGGTGTATGTGTTAACCCTTTATTTAAAATAAAAAACTCCTCCCTTCTGGAAAAAATAAAAAAATAAAAAACTCCATATATACTCCCTCCGTCCCATTGGATCGGACTTTACCAACTTTCCCTTTTTTGTTGTCCCAAAAAACTTTGTCACTTTCTTATTAAAGCAACTAATTTGTGGTTCTGCACATTTCTCTCTCCTCTGCACAAATTTCAACCACACAGTTTTTACTATTCTTATTTCTCACCTACTTTGCACTTGACAAAGTCCACCGGGATGGAGGTAGTATATGTTTTCATTTTAGAGATGATATTTATATTTGATATAGCTGTATATAACAGGAATGAAATGTTTATTAGTGTGTATTGCCCCTTGTGGTCTTAAATGTTTAAATAAAAAAATTAGAGAAAATATTAAGTTTGGAAATGACTAAAAATTTAGCAAGGCGGATGGACACATTTTACGCATAACGAACCCGCCCCATTTCGAATCATAATATATTAATATACTAGTATGTGTACTTGTGCATCGCACGGCAAAATGGGTGCTTAAAGTTTTAATTAAAATTGCAGGGAAAATGAATTCTACAGGAATTCGTCAATCAGAGTTTAAAATAAAATTTAATCGAAAATGGATAGAGCTGTCAAAATGAGTCCAACTTCATAGGGCTAGTCCATTTCATCTCATTTCACGATGTGTTAGAGTTGTCATTCTTTAATCCGATGAACTGACTGGTTTAGTGGGTCAACTTGCACATGTTGTTGGTTAAGTGGGTTGACCCATGCAGGTTGCGAGTAAACCAAAATACAAACATCCGTTTTTTACTTTCATTGTCTTCAATATTGATGCTTTACTACCAAAATAATTTCTCCAGCATTATCTCTATAAATGAACCGGAATGTTAGATTTGAATATTGTGCATTATATATATAGGGTTGAGTTCACATGAGAAGACATCTAATGTGTAAAAAGAGAATTAGAATGAACAAGAATAATGTTAGATTTGAAAATTGTTCATTATATAAAATAGAAACATGAGCTATCATAAAAAAAATGTAGTGACGTTTATGTAAATAAATTCAACATTTTTTGTCCTTTTAAAGTCTGAATTATGTGCACCTCCATCAAAAATAATGTGCATCGTTTGAACATTCTCATCTTTTGAGACCATTAAGCATGCACTTAGACGAACCAAGCTATGAAAAGCATAATCTATCACGGGTTGGGTAAGATTGGGGAGTGCTAAACCATTTAATTAACAACGTGAAACATAAATTGTGAAGTATAAATAAATATGAGACAAAAAAAGTGAATCTACCTTTTGACATTGATCGGGAAGACTTTGTGAATTAATAGGTAGATATGTAATATGTAGTATCACATTTATCGCATTAAGATCGAGACATGTGCATATATTAAAAATTAGTTTATCTAGCTAATGTTGAAACGAAAAAAGTAGGGACAACAATGTAAGGATGATTTAGAATTGCACATGTATTATATTATTTGGATGTACTCAAATGTCATTTCCACATCAACTTTAATACTCATTTAACGGATGCTAACGGTCAGGGATAAAAAAAGATAACTGTGCAAATTACAAGGATCAATAATAACTTTTTTATTTTGCAGGGACCTAAACCAAAACACACTATAATTACAAGGACCAAAAACATATTTAAGCCAATTTTCTTTTACACAATTTGAAATGATCAATTGAGTTTAATTTGTTGAGTAACAATCAAGAAGAAGTGGTAGTTAGCTTAACTTGAACAAGACAAAGTATGCAGGCTGCGTGAAAGTTGGGACTTGGGAGATTAGATGGTAATTGCAGATTACCACACCGAAGCAAAGAGAAGCAGCAACGCATTAAGATTATTATAAAACCAAAGCTATTGACACCTTGAAACATACTTACCTGGACGGGGTCAATGGTTGATCAAGAAGACCCATGGCCTAGGTTGGTGACTTCCATTGCACATTGGAAGGGTGTCATCCTAAGGTCTACCCAAGCGGTGGAACCTATGTCATAATTTGTGATAGTGGGGCCTGCGTTCGCGCGGTCCCTTCCAAATCATAGTTCAATGTTTCAATTAAGGTGACAACTTTGGTATCCATTTAAAAAATGGGGTATCGTATCTACCACTCACATGATTGGTCCAAATCATTAAATCATTTTTAATTTAGATTTAAATAATTCAACTGCAAAATTCGATCTGATTGGTCCAAGTAGACAAAGGTATGGTACCTTTTGGGTACCATAGAATCTACCTTCAATTAGGCTCTGTTTGCAAACTCTATTTATAAGTGCTTTTGGCTTTTTTTAAGAAAAAAAAAACACTTATTTTACCAAACACTACCAACTTTTACTATCTCGGTTTTCGTGTAGAATCTACTTTTTACTTTTTCTATTACACAAAAAGCACTTATTTTACCAAACACTACCAACTTTTACTACTAATCACTTTTTCCTAAAAAGTGTTTTTATTTAAGCACAAGTGGATGCAAACAAAGCCTTAATCGTACTAGTCCAATGGAAGCCGAATTTCTTTCGATATAGTCCACCGGGATGGAGGTAGTATATGTTTTCATTTTAGAGATGATATTTATATTTGATATAGCTGTATATAACAGGAATGAAATGTTTATTAGTGTGTATTGCCCCTTGTGGTCTTAAATGTTTAAATAAAAAAATTAGAGAAAATATTAAGTTTGGAAATGACTAAAAATTTAGCAAGGCGGATGGACACATTTTACGCATAACGAACCCGCCCCATTTCGAATCATAATATATTAATATACTAGTATGTGTACTTGTGCATCGCACGGCAAAATGGGTGCTTAAAGTTTTAATTAAAATTGCAGGGAAAATGAATTCTACAGGAATTCGTCAATCAGAGTTTAAAATAAAATTTAATCGAAAATGGATAGAGCTGTCAAAATGAGTCCAACTTCATAGGGCTAGTCCATTTCATCTCATTTCACGATGTGTTAGAGTTGTCATTCTTTAATCCGATGAACTGACTGGTTTAGTGGGTCAACTTGCACATGTTGTTGGTTAAGTGGGTTGACCCATGCAGGTTGCGAGTAAACCAAAATACAAACATCCGTTTTTTACTTTCATTGTCTTCAATATTGATGCTTTACTACCAAAATAATTTCTCCAGCATTATCTCTATAAATGAACCGGAATGTTAGATTTGAATATTGTGCATTATATATATAGGGTTGAGTTCACATGAGAAGAC